TTCTGTCATACATGTCATATCTGGTTCTGTTGAGAGGTTTTTCTCCCTGTTGTAAGTTGTAGTTTCTGTTTCTTTCTAAGTCTGCTGACCGTTTTTTTTAAATGTTATATTGATTTTTGAGAGAGAGCTGGGGTTTTTTTTTTGTTTTTTTTTTTTTTCTCACAAGAGTGGGAAGGGCATAGAGAGAGGGAGACAGAGAATTCAAAGCAGGCTGTGCACTCAGAGCAGTGAGCCCGACGTGGGGCTCAGACTCATGAACCACGACATCATGACCTGAGCTGAAGTCGGACACTCCACCGACTGAGCCACCCAGGCACCCCTAAGCCTCGTAAGTTTTCAGTGCCAGACACTGGATTTTATCTTGTCAGCTGTTGGATATTTTTCCGTTCCTGAAAATATTTTTAAGTTTGTTCTGGGACGCAGTTAAGTTACTTGGAAACAAATACTTTCAAGCCCGGCTTTAAGGCTTTGTTAGGTGGGTCCAATACCTGTTGGAATGCTCGGTCTGATGTCTCGTCTATTACAAGCCTTTCCATTGGGGCTGATGGGAACCACGCCGTTCTTGATCCTGTGTGAGCTCTAGGAATTATTCCATCGAATCCAGTGGCTCTCAGCCCTGGAGACATTTTTGGCTGTCATGACGTAGGGGGGGGGGGTGGGGAGGCGCGAGTATCAGCAAGTGGGTAGGGGCCAGGAATGCTGGTAAGTGCCCAACGATGCACAGAACGGCCCCCACCCCAGAGAATGGTGGCAGCCCGGGTGCTGGTCGAGCCCTGCTCTTATCCCATTAGTTGGGTGTCCCAACATGACATGGTTTCCTATACTCGTGCACTGACCAGTGCTCGGCTGACAGCCCGGAGGGGACCCTCCGAAGTGCTCCACACCTCTGTGCTGCTCTCTCTTCCTGGTGCTCTGCCACCTTGGCCTCCTTGGACCCCAGTTCCACGCCCTCAGTGCAGAGACCACACAGCTCCCCTGGCCCTCTGCGCCAGGGCCTGGCAGCTCTCAGGTGGCAGCCGGGGCCGTCGCGAGGCTCCCTGGGGTACACGGGCCACTGTCCCATGCTGGTGGTGGTCGGTGTTTGAAAGCTGCCTTCTCCCCGGTCTGCTGAGTTTCAGCAGCTTGGACACAGCGGCTCCAGTGCCCGCCACTTTCCTGGATACGGGCGTGTCGGACATGTGACCCTGCTCTCACTAACTTGTTGGGGTTTTTTTTTTCAGCTTTTGAACATGTCAAACTACAAGGAGAAGTTTTCGACTTTGCTCTGGCTTGAGGAGATTCATGCAGAAATAGAACTGAAAGAGTATAACATGAGTGGGGTCACCTTGAAAAGAAATGGGGATTTGCTGGTTCTGGAGGTCCCAGGACTGGCTGAAAGTAGGCCTTCTCTGTACGCAGGTGGGTTTGTTACGTGTCCTGTTTTCTAGAGGGACCGCAGACGCTGCCCCCTTTGGGGGAGAACGTGTGAACCGCAATACTGCAGTCCCGTCGTCTCCCTTCCTTTGCTTTGGCTCAGAGTTTTCCGTGCACCCAGCCCTGCGCTTTGGCCGTGGTGACACGATTCCTAAGCAGCTGACCCCCGCTGACGTTTGTTCACAGCGTTTGATTTTATAGTACAGCAGCAAAGCTCTGTGATTTTATCGTTTTACATGTCACGCTATGTTTTTTAACTAGGTGATAAGCTGGTCTTAAAAAGCCAAGAGTACAGCGGACATGTCATCGAGTACATCGGCTATGTGGTTGAGGTGAGAGGCGCGCCTGCTCCGCTAGTGCTGGGCCAGCCCTTCCGGCCCGTCGGGGGTCACCTGCCCACCCTGGCTGGGGCAGAGGCACTTCCTCAGGCTTTGACGGTACTTCAGAAGATGCAGGATGAAGTAAATACTTAAATAAATTTGATGCAGAAAGAGAACTTAATAGCTTTTTAAAAATTACGTACTTTTTGGGGTGCCTGTGTGGCTCTGTTAGTTAAGTGTCTTGTCTGACTCTGGATTTGGGCTCAGCTTGTGATCTCACAGTTCTATGAGTTCGAGCCCCACGTTGGGCTCTTGGGCTCTGTGCTGATAGATTCTCTCTCTCTATCTCTCTCTCCCCGCCCCCCCAACCCCTCACACACGTGCTCTCAAAATAAATAAAAAAATTTTTTAAGTCCTATAATTTTCAATCACGTAAGCCGTATAGCCATATTTACCTT